TAGTCACCCTGTGGAATTTCCTTACTATCCCTTTTATGAGTCAGGCAAGTAGGGACTGCCATTGTTTTGAGGGAGAGGTCATTCATAAACCACTTGGGTCACTTCCATTGAGTTCACAGGTCAATGACCGGCGGATTTTGGATGGGATATTTGCCGTCTGTGGTGTTCCTGAAAGCAAGTTCCATGCCATCTGCTCCTCGGTAGACAAACTAGACAAGGTAACAAAGAAGACATGCTTCAGTAGATCCTATCAGAGTTTCTGCCCTGCCTTCAAATCTATATATACCTTTAGAGGAAAATAAGGAGATGGTGGCTGGAAGTGAGCTATTTCTGGGAGGAAGGTAAGGAGACATTCTGAAACGAGACCTGAGTTTTGCTGTGCAGTGGAGATTATGGCTGGATTTCCTAAGCTGCCTCTGACTTTGCTGAGTAGAGTGTTAGCTACTCGTGACATACATAATGAATGAAATGAGATGTCCTTTTCCATTAAGAGAAAGAAGGATCTTGGGGCTAGGCTAATGTTTGGGTGTTTGTGCAGATGTCTTGGAAAGATGTGAGACATGAGATGGTGGCAAAGAAAGGCCTGGCTGCTGAAGTAGCTGATCGAATTTGGGATTACGTCCAATGTCATGGTAAGAATCAGTGTTTTCAGAGGTACATGATAGAACCAGAGTGAGGGTGATAAGTGTATAACTTCTACGTCTGAAACAGCTCCTTTTCATAAATGTGCTAAGTTCCAGAGCCTGGTTTTAATTTAATAACCTTTTTACTTACTGTAACCAGTTATGTCTTTAGGTGTCAAAGATGGAGGCAGAAGAGGAGAATCTGGTCATATGTGATCAGGATCTTTTTCTTAAAGAAAATGAGGAGGACTAGCTGGAGCATATTAGGGATAAATTTGGATGAAACACATCTGGGTGTATAACACAGACATTATTTCTCCCCACATGTCTCCCCAGGAGGGGTGTCCTTGGTGAAACAAATGTTCCAGGATCCCAGACTATCCCAGAACAAGCAGGCCCTAGAGGGCTTGGGAGACCTGAAGCTGCTATTTGAATATCTGACTTTATTTGGAATTGCTGAAAAGGTAAGCTGGGTAGGGAGTGCACCTCCTGCTGTGTCTAGGGCTCTCAGGGTCCTGAGTCTTGTCTAAGACTGACTATAACCTTGTTCCCACAGATCTCCTTTGACCTGAGCCTGGCTCGGGGCCTGGACTACTATACAGGAGTGATCTATGAAGCGGTGCTGCTACAGACCCCAGCTCATGCTGAGGAGGAGCCACTGAATGTGGGCAGTGTGGCTGCTGGTGGGCGCTATGATGGGCTGGTGGGCATGTTTGACCCCAAAGGCCACAACGTGCCATGTGTGGGGCTCAGCATTGGGGTGGAGCGGATCTTCTCCATTGTGGAGCAGAGGATGAAGGTAGGTCCTCGGTAGGGTTAGAGTAGGGCTGCAGACCTTAAAAACTCTCATGTTTCTGGAAGTGCAGTTGGACTGTTTTTCTGATGATTGTTTTGTTTTGAATTATTGGTGCAAAGGAAGTTTTTATTAGTTTTACCTTCTCTCTCTCTTTTACTAGACTTTTGGTGAGAAGATACGGACCACAGAGACCCAAGTGTTTGTGGCCACACCACAGAAGAACTTTCTCCAAGAACGGCTGAAGCTAATTGCAGAGCTTTGGGATGCTGGGATCAAGGTATAATGGAGCTAATATCCAAAACATCTAGCTATATGTGGAATTCATGCACCAGGCCCACTTCTACCTTATGCCTAAGGTGGAACTCAAGATCTTTCTAGTCTTCACTAGTGTGTCTTCATAGGGTATGAGGGTGAGCTACTTACTTATTTGGATATGCCTGCTCCTGGGGTTTGAGTGGTATGGTCACTTCTTTTTTTTTTTTTAACATCTTTATTGGAGTATAATTGCTTTACAATGGTGTGTTAGTTTCTGCTTTATAACAAAATGAACCAGCTATACATATACATATATCCCCATATGTCCTCCCTCTTGCGTCTCCTTCCCACCCTCCCTATCCCACCCCTCTAGGTGGACGCAAAGCACCGAGCTGATCTCCCTGTGCTATGTGGCTGCTTCCCACTAGCTATCTATTTTACTTTTGGTAGTATATATAAGTCCATGCCACTCTCTCACTTTGTCCCAGCTTACCCTTCCCCCTACCCGTGTCCTCAAGTCCATTCTCTATGTCTGCATCTTTATTCCTTTCCTGCCCCTAGGTTCTCAAAACCATTTTTTTTTCTTTTTTAGATTCCATATATATGTGTTAGCATACGGTATTTATTTTTCTCTTTCTGACTTACTTCACTCTGTATGACAATCTCTAGGTCCATCCACCTCACCACAAATAACTCAATTTCGTTTCTTTTTATGGCTAATATTCCATTGTATATATGTGCCACATCTTCTTTATCCATTCATCCGTTGATGGACACTTAGGTTGCTTCGGTATGGTCACTTCTAAGTCCCCTATTCTTTTTTTGAAAATTAATTAATTATTTTTTGGCTGCATTGGGTCTTCGTTGCTGCGCGCAGGCTTTCTCTAGTTGCGGCGAGTGGGGGCTACTTTGCGGTGCGTGGGCTTCTCATTGCGGTGGCTTCTCTTGTTGCGGAGCACAGGCTCTAGGCATGCGGGCTTCAGTAAGTAGTTGTGGTACATGGGCTCAGTAGTTGTGGCTCACGGGCTCTAGGGTGCAGGATCGGTAGTTGTGGCGCATGAGCTTAGTTGCTCCGCGGCATGTGGGATCTTTCCGGACCAGGGCTCGAACCCATGTCCCCTGCATTGGCAGGCGGATTCTTAACCACTGTGCCACCAGGGAAGTCCCTAAGTCCCCTATTCTTTCTTCACCCTTTTCAGGCAGAGCTGATGTATAAGAACAACCCTAAACTACTAACTCAACTGCACTACTGTGAGAACACGGGCATCCCACTGGTGGTCATTATTGGTGAGCAAGAACTGAAGGAAGGGGTCATCAAGCTCCGTTCAGTGGCCAGCAGGGAGGAGGTGAGTGGGGGCAGGCAGAAATAGGAGGTACCAAGTGTTTCTACTTTTCTTAGATCCTTTAAGAAATATATATCTTTTGGCTGAGAAAATATCTCCAGGGTTAATCGTGATAGAGATGAATGAGCACCCACCCTAGGCAACCATTATAGCCGATGATTGGTTGGGTGGGCAAAAGGACAAACGAAATCTCTATGGGTATTTCAAGACTCATCAACAAAATAGACATAGATCAGGTGTTTGAATCCCTTTAGTCTTGAGGGCATACATTCTCCAGGTCAGGTTGAAGCACATACTCCTCCCTACTGGTTGCATAAGTAGTGGGAGCAGTTGCACAGTTAAATGAATCCAGAAAAGTAGTGGCTAAGGAACTAGTATCACTCTCTAGTTTGTCACATGAGAGTTCTGTTATGTTTCAGGTGGCCATTACACGGGAAAATCTTGTGGCTGAAATTCAGAAGCGACTGTCTGAGTCTTGATCCTTGCCTGAATGCCATCTGCTGCTCTTTGTAGAAAATGTTTCATCTAGGACTGACTTCCTGAGGGACTTCATAACTGCTGGCCAGGATGGGTGACAAGTGCCTCTGCATCCTTCATCCTTCCTGGGTACAGAACTGTAGAAGGCCCTGAGGACTCCTGGGCTAGTGTGAGCAGCTATTCTGCATGGGCGCAGGTGGCTGGTACGTGACAGAGACATGCTCTAACATCCGAGGCAGATGGCAGGTTTGAAATGCCACTGAGTGCTGCCAACAGGTGCTGAGATGGTTGCTATGAGCAAATCTCTGGGAAAGTCACCTCAGGTTGAGAGGATTCTGACCACTGAGATCAAAAGTCAAATACTTAGCCTTCTGCTCTGGCTTCTGAGCCAATTTCTGGGAAGTTTGTCCATAACCTGCCCTTGGCCTGTCCAGGTAGTTTTTGGGAGACAGCAAAGAGTTGGGCAATGACTGTCTTCTGTTTTGTTTGAGGACAGAGATGCTATCCCAAGGGCATAGCAGTGCCCATATTGATGTGGCATCTCTCTAGCCCATCCATTGTTAATAATAGCAGGGTGAGGCTGTCTGTTTAATAATCTTGAATGTTGAACTTAATAAGTGACCTGACAAGATTGAGATCTGATCTTTTGAGATTTTGGAGACCATTACCTGTGCCAGAATCACTGCTCTGACTTCCATGTCCTGCCATGGAGGTGCCTGTTCTAGAAGTGGTTGTATAATATATTAAATAAAATATTAAATATAGTAGTTTGGATAATTTGTTACCAAGGGATTGGTTTGCATAGGCCATGGAAAACGCTTGAGTGTACACTGGAGGATTCTGTGAGCTAGGAGTAACCTCCCTGGGGTGATGTTTCTGTATTCAGTGAAGGGAGCAGCCACAGTTCCCCTTCCCCCCAACTTGGAGATACAGTCACGTCACTAAATCAATGTATAGTGAGATATCTGCTAGAGTTCTTCATCCTAGAGTGTTGTTGATGACCGACCTTCCCAAGTCCCATCATGTTGATTAAACTGTGCACTATAGATTGAATGACTGTTTCTCAGCTGAAGGAAAAATGAGTTAACCAAAGTTTGATAGCATTGCTTCAAGATAAAGAGACAAGCCGCAAAAAGCGCTTTGCATATGTGCGTTGGAAAGGCTGCAGCCTTTACAAACAGTTCAGCGCTCTTGGGGCCATATTTTTAGTGCATCTAGAGCCCCTGTAACGGCGCTTCAGCCTTAAAGAAGGTTTGGAAATTCTTGGCAGTGCACGCAGGTTGATTAGATTAGATCAGAGAGCACTGATCCGAATCTCATTTTCCTCTTTGGTTAAAAAGACAAGTTGAATCTACGCTTGTTTTGAAAGCCACGGCAAAAACGTTTCCAGGCGCCCTTACTTCCGTGTTGCTTCAAACTTTCCTTGCGCATGCGCTATTTCTTTGGCGCGGGGGCGGGGCCGACAATCCTGTTTTAGAAGCCCTCCAGTGCTTAGCTCGTTTAGAACACGAGAGTCTAAGCTTATTGGAGGCAAGCTTGCTTTACGGCTCAAGGCCGCTTTTTACGGCATTTTCCGGCTTCCCATTCACTTCGAAGTGAAGATGGCGTCGGGCAGTGGGGTAGGTGTTGTGTGTGAGGAGGCTTCGGGTGGGGGGTCGGGGGTGGCTTCTCGGCGCCGAGTATTCTGCACCCGATTGACTTCCCGACACCTCCTCGCAATCTAATGGCCCCAGTTCAAGAGCTTCTTCGTAAGGCCCTGGCACAGGGTCAGTGGAATCGGGGAGGGCTCTGGTTGGGGTCCTGAGGCAACCTCAGCCTCCTGGTGCTGTCCGGAGAGGCTTCGCTTTCCCCAGGTCCCGGGGCCGCCTTGGCAGCGAGGACGCGCTTCCGTTTTTCCAGGAGTCGGACACGATTAGCGACGAATCTCAAGCGCTTTTTCCTCCCCCCAGACAAAAAACTTGGACTTTCGCCGAAAGTGGGACAAAGATGAATATGAGAAGCTCGCCGAGAAGAGGCTCACGGAAGAGAGAGAAAAGAAGGATGGTGGGTGCCTTCTCCATCAAGTGCTAAGTGTATTATAGAGGCGATGCAATGGTTGGAGAGTGGGTGGGGAGTTGAAATGCGCTGTCCTCATTTCTTGTGTAACCTTTGACAGAGCATTGCCTCCCTGGTCCTCAGTTTCTTCAGGTATGAGAGCGAGGAGATGGACTGAAGTGCTTTTGAGGTGCTTTCCAGCTCTGTGATTCTGCTTCCTTGCCTTACCTTTGTTTGGCTCATTTCGTACTTTCCTCAAGTACAGAGAAGAGAGTGGGATCCTTACTAGTGACAGGAGAAGGAGTATTTTGCTGCTTTGTATTATTGCTTTTGAAGAGCAGCAGGGAACATGGTATTGTTTAACCTACCGCTTAGTGCTGTTCTCTGTGCGTTATACTATGTCAGGGAGTTGGTGCTTCTCTCCTAGAGATTCCACTGTATAAAAAGAAACGTCTTATTTTCTCATCTGTTTTCAAACTGTACATTTTTCTTCTGCTTTACTTCTACACCAGGTTGCATAATCTAACTTTTGGTTTTTATGTAACTTGTACAATAGTACTTGACATATAACAGATATTTCCTAAATGTTGGTCCCCTTTAAAAGTTTTCCCAGCTCTCAGAAGATTCCTTTCTGTTTTATGCTTGGGATATCTGTTTGAAAGCACTATTGAGTGGTCTTACTCTTCTTTTTTTTTTTTTTTTTTTTGCGGTACGCGGGCCTCTCACTGTTGTGGCCTCTCCCGTTGCGGAGCACAGACTCCGGACGCGCAGGCTCAGCGGCCATGGCTCACGGGCCCAGCCGCTTCGCCGCATGTGGGATCTTCCTGGACGGGGGCACGAACCCGTGTCCCCTACATTGGCAGGCAGACTCTCAACCACTGCGCCACCAGGGAAGCCCAACTCTTCTTTTAAAAGGTTGCTTTTTGTGAAAATTAAGAGCTCCTCCCTTCAATTCAGTTAATTAATGAATAAAAAATATTGCTTTTAGGGGTTTCCCTGGTGGTGCAGTGGTTGAGAGTCCGCCTGTCAATGCAGGGGACACGGGTTCGTGCCCCGGTCTGGGAGGATCCCACATGCCGCGGAGCGGCTGGGCCCGTGAGCCATGGCCGCTGAGCCTGCGCGTCCGGAGCTTGTGCTCCGCAATGGGAGAGGCCACAACAGTGACAGGCCCGCATATCGCAAAAACAACAACAACAAAAAACACATTGCTTTTAGACTCGTTGGATTTGAAGTGGAGGAAAGATGTAGAGAGTTAGGGATTGCTTGTCATTTTTTCTGTGTTGAGCTTCTCCTTAGCTGCTGCTAGAAGTGACTGTTGTGTCCCTTGCTTCAGGTTTCAAAAAGACATGAAAGTAAACCTCAGGATTTTGGATTTCACGCGTTTCTTTTCCTTTCTGGTTAAGGAACTCTAATAATGAAGGGACTTCCTTCCCCATTATATTTCAGGAAAACCAGTGCAGCCAGTCAAGCGAGAGCTTCTCCGGCATAGGGACTACAAGGTGGACCTGGAATCCAAACTTGGGAAGACAATCGTCATTACCAAGACCACCCCACAGTCTGAGATGGGAGGGTGAGTGGCTTTTCATCTTTCTCTGCAGCCAGGAGTAAGTCTAATAAACTGTGTTGGTTTTAGGAAGTGTTGAGCAGGGTACCTGGCCTTGGAATAACAACCTTGTTTCCTGTAATTCCATCCATTGTCCTCCAAGGTCTCAAGTTAACATAATAGTGTCTCTAAGAGGGGTCACTCTGTAGGCGTCTTCATATTAGCACTGTAACTACTTCTTAATATCTTAAAAGGGATTATTTGTTCTCCTGCCAGAGGAAGAAATGAACAAAAGGACTACTGAGGAGATTTCTAGGGGAGAAATTAGGTGAAGCTAGAATGGAGCCCAGGAGCTGTTGATGGTGAATAAAGGGGGTTGAGGTTCCAGACTGGCTGCAAAGGTTGTAGCTGTTATGGATTTCCTGGTTGTGCACCTTCCTCCTAGACCAAGGCGATAACCTTTAGGAAGAAGGGTCCCACAAGAACTCTTCATCTTTTTGCTCACCACTACCTCTCTGTCCAGTTAGGTTTTCCAGCAGGAGCATAACACAGATAACAATGAGTGACACTTTTCTGAGCTGCTTCTCTGAGTAAATCCACTGTTGTCCTTCCTCTTTGTGTTAGTTATCTATTGCTATTTAAATTAATACATTAACCCAGTATTTAGCAGCATAAAACAATGGATAGCTCACAGTATCTGTGGGGAAGTAACCTGGGAAAGGTTTACCTAGGTGGTTCTGGCTCAGTGTCTCTCACAAAGCTGTCATCAAGGTGTCTGCTGCGTCTGCATTCATCTGAGGTATAAGTGGGGCTGGAGGATCTGCTTCCAAGCTCTGTCACGTGGCTGTGGTTTGGAGGCCTCAGTTCTATGCTCCATGGGCCGCTCCATAGCACTGCTCACAACAAAGCAAGTGACTTCCCCAGGGCACGTGATCCTCGTGAACAGACTAAGACAGAATCCATGTTTTTTTATAACCTAATCTTGGAAGTGACATAGAATCACCTTTGATACATTCTATTGATCACACAGACTAACGCTTGTGCAAATTGGGAAGGGCCTATATAGGGTAGGAATACCAGGAGTGTGGGATCATTGTGGGGGCCATCTTGGAAGTTGGCAGCCACACTCTTCCAAGAGCCAAGGCTTTGTGGAAATGAGAATGCTGCTTCTAAAAAGAAATTTTACCTAAAAATAATGAGTTTTTTGGTTGAAAACGATAAAATCCTTACAACCAGATGTGACCATAGTGCTATTTCTTTCTGTTTTCTAGATACTATTGCAATGTCTGTGACTGTGTGGTGAAAGACTCCATCAACTTCCTGGATCACATTAATGGAAAGAAACGTAAGACTTGGAGGTAGTTTGTGATTGGGGCTGGATTTGAGTTTTGGAGGTGGGGTGCGGGAAAGGGTAGTTACTATTGGGCCTCTTTTTCAGTGTCTGGGGAATTCTCTAGTTGCTTCAGCATAGGTCATTCTTTACTTCATTATTTAATGTTTCTGGGGTCCATGAGGTGAGTATCTGTTCTAAGCTGTCAACAAGCCCAGACCATGGTCTTCTCCAGGGCCCAACTGTCCCTACTGGTGTGCATCTGCTCAGTAAGGGTAATTGAAAGCTGCGTATATCTTGTTATCTGGGGCTGCTGCCAGGGAAATTTTTTTTAGCCCTAATTATTTTTACTGTGTGTTTTATGAGTCTGTTTTTTGTTTTTTTTTTAATGTCAGGAAAAGACTTTTTGAGGGACTTAGGATGTCTTAACAACCTTACCTTCTTCACTGTTGACCCTACCCAGATCAGCGAAACCTGGGCATGTCTATGCGTGTGGAACGTTCCACTTTGGATCAGGTGAAGAAACGTTTTGAAGTCAACAAGAAGAAGATGGAAGAGAAGCAGAAGGATTATGATTTTGAGGAAAGGATGAAGGAACTCAGAGAAGAGGTAGGCTCTCTTCCTCATTCCACTTCCATCCCCAGAGGAGAGTTGTATCTCCTGAATTTCTGTACATTAAGGGGGACATTTATTGCCCTTGTTTGGGACTCTCATAATCTGAAGGAAATGGCTCTAAACCTATCCTTTTTTTCTGGACTCTCTGGGCCATACTTTTTTTTTTTTTTTTTTTTAAACTACAGGAGTGATTAATTAAATGCACCTAGTCCCCAGCAGGCCCGTGGAACCAGGCTGACTGGGTCAGAGTTCTGTTTCCTTCACATACTGGCTGTGAATCTTGGATAAGTTATATAACCTCTTTGTGCCTCTGTTTCCTCATATTCAAGATCTTAGTATATAATACACATAAAGCACTTAGACCAGTTCCTGGCTTGTACTCTATGCCCCAGAATGTTAGTTCCTATTATGTGGCTTTACTCCCATCACCTTGTTAAGAACTAGAGATGAACTGGGATATAGGATTGAGAAATGCTTTCCACAGGCTAAAACTTCTCTTTCTTGTCCCTTATGATCTTTACTGTGGCTTTTCCTCTGCTCTTGAAATTTTACTTGTCTTTAATTATTTTATTCTAAAGATAGAAAGGAAGCTCACCTATCTCTTTCAACATTTGGCTCACGAGTCTGAACTGATTCTGAGTGATTTCCCTTCTAGGAGGAAAAGGCCAAAGCCTACAAGAAAGAGAAACAGAAGGAGAAGAAAAGGAGGGCTGAGGAGGACTTGACATTTGAGGAGGATGATGAGATGGCAGCTGTGATGGGCTTCTCTGGCTTTGGTTCCACCAAGAAGAGTTACTGAGGCTTTTTATGCTTGGCTTTTTGCCAGGCCTAACTTTGTGTGTGTGGGCGTCATCTTTTGGGAGGTACTGGGGAAAGTCCTTAAGAGTGGCAGTGGGGAGGGCTAGAGGGTGGGTGTTTGTGGTTTCCCTCTACCTTGGGAGAGAGCACAGGATGCAAAGGAATGTGCTGTGGCATGTTCCTTCAGCCTCAGTATTTCACTGGAGACAGAGGACGTCTGATCATCTGAGTTCCCAATAAAGAAAAACCACCTCTTCTGAGGCTGCTTTCCGGAAACTCCCCTTGCATCTTTCCCTCTTCATCTGTCCATCTCATCTGAGCATCCTACATTTACCCTGTGTTCTGCCTTTGTTTTAATTTTTACTCTTGCTTAGCCTACAGCAGAAGGGTTCTCTGGGTCCCCAGTTTCCAGTTGATAGCTTATCCTTGCCTGGCCCCTCCTTTTGCCATTCTCCCCCAGTCCCGCCCCGTGGTTCTCCGGCCATCTGTGCATGCATGTGTACTTCTGCCTGGGTCATTGGTATGTGCGGGTGCGTGTGCATGAAACTGTCACATAGAGGGAGCCTAAGCTAGAGCCTCAGGAGCATTGCTAGAGCCTCAGGGGCCTGGTGTTCTCAGCTTCCTCAGAGCATGTAACAGGAAATTAAATGGGATGAGTGTTTGGTGTGGTTTTGTCTGGTGAGTTTTTTAACCTTTGTTCTTCATATGTAAACTGTTCAGCTTTTCCTATTTGTTTCATTTTATTGAGGATTACTCTGTTTTTGTCTTCCTTGTAAGCAGGCTCTTGGAAGAACCTGTTTGATGCAAAAAAGAAAAAGGAGAAAACCTCATATGGGAGCCCTTGGGTCTCAGAGGCTGTTCAACATGTATAATAAATAGCATTGACTGGGCCTATTTCACATTTGGTGGGAACATCCCATATTCTTCCCTGTGTATTGTTTTTTTCTTCTCCATACTTATTCTTCTCCCTTCATTTGAGCCCTGTCACTTTTTTTCTAGGTGCCTTCAACACGAATTATACTTTACTCTGATGTGATCTGTGTCTGGAGGAGTTTGAATATAACTTTTCCTGTAATTTTAGCCTCCTTTGATCTTCTGTTTCTGGAACAGCAGAGCTCAGGGTTGAAAACTTAGTGTTTTCCTAACTCTCTGCAGTTAGGCTAGGCACAGGGTTACTCGGTGTTTGCACTGTTGACATTTTGGGCTGGGTAATTCTTTGTTGTGGAGGCTCCCTTGTGCATTGTAGGGTGTCTAGAGAATCTCTAGCCTCTACTCACTAGTTGCCAATAGCACCTTCTCCCCAAGTTATGACAATGAAAGATGTCTGTGTTCCTGGAGGGGGGCGGGGCATAATTCCTCCCCCCTAGCCCCACTGAGAACTATTGAGAAGCTGCCTTGCCTCAAGTTGGGTCTAACTTGAGAATTAGATGGTACAGACTGGCTAACTAAAGCAAAAACAACTTTGATGTTCCCTACATCAGGTACTGTGCCAGGCCCTAGGGATGCAGATGGAAAAAAAAAGTTCCTTAAAGTAAAAAAACAAATGGTAGTTACACAAGCTTCAAACAGGTGAATTGTGTAACAACTTTAGTTGCTTCTGTTCCTTGAAAAGTGGGCTCTGCTTGGGCTAACAAGGCTGCTACCATATGGCTTGTTGACATTTTCTGCCTTATCTAGCCCTTTGGACACCTTTATGTAGCATCTGAACCACTTGTGGGTCCCCCAAAGCACCATACTCTTTCCTTTGGACTTTTGTGCAAAATTCCCTTGCTGTTAGGCATCTCTTTTGCTGACTTTTCTTTTTTTTGGGGCGGGGGTGAGGGGCAGCGTGCTGCGCGGCTTGTGGGATCTTAGTTCCCTGACTAGGGATCAAACCTGAGCCCTCAGCAGTGAAAGCGGAGTCCTAACCACTGGACCACCAGGAATTCCCTGCCTAATTTTATTTCTGATGCTGAATCTTGCAAATGGAAACACTGAATGTGTCTTTATCGACTGGCTCAAAATTTCTCATACAATATTCGTTGGCCAGTTGCAGACATATTAGTTGGTGCTTTCCTTGGCAGGATTATGTGTTCTACAGGTCCTTGGGTAAGAATCTACCCTAGTCAACTGGGTCCTTTTGTTCCCCCTGTCAAGGCAGGCTAGAGAATGTAACAATGAGCTGAGTTCCTTCCGTGGTTCAGTGTTCATTCTTCAGGTAGCTAATTCAACTTGGCTTCAAGCGATTTCCCTCTTTGGTACCGGTGGAATCTGACTTCTGGTCATCTCTACTAAAAAGCAGTTCTGAAGTCCATTTTCTCTAAATTCTCTTGGGACTGGCAAGTGGTTTGAGTTTCCAAGGGGTCTGTCTAGGTCATGGATATTTGGAGGGGTTCAAGCTGGTGAATTTAAAAAAGCGGGGGGAGGAAGGAGATGGGATGGAAATTTAGGACCCCAGAGCAATCCTAGAGAACTCCAAACTCTGGAAGAGAAGCTTTATTGATGTTTGCGGTCTTTCTAAAAATCCAAGGAAATTTTGCATTCTGGTTGAGTCATATGCCTGTGACCGGCCTACATGAGTTCGTTTGGTGAGTGCTGAGATGCTGAACATGTTCTAGGCCCTGGTAGTATCTTCTGGGACAAGGCAACAAGGTCCCAAGTGTCATGGAATTTACATTCTGGTGGAATTGCCAGTTAAAGTATTTAGGGAACAAAAGATCTGTATGGCTTCAGATTTTGTGACTTCAGGCGTCCCAGGGCCTCTCACATCTCTCCCATAACCTCCAGAAATTTAAATGTGAAGTCTTTAATTCAGCAATTCTACTCATATAAGTATCCTAAAAACAGGCTTGCTTATGTGTACATATGCATACAAGGATGTTTATTGCAGCTATGTTTATAACAGTGAAACATTTAAAATAAAACCGGTACATTTATACTTGAGTATAATGCAGCCATTACAATATATATGAATTAGACCTAGTGTATGTACTGACAAGATCTCCAAGACATTCTGTTAAGTGTAACAGAACAATACCCAACAACCCAATCCCCAATAAGCCCACCCTTTACCCCTGCCAGTCAAAACTCTGTTGTGTGTACAGTTAAATACGTAGATTGAGGGAAAAAACTGGAGGAGTACACACTGAAATCATAGTCATGGTTAACTGGAGAAAAGTAGGAATTGTGGCTGTTTACAGTGTACATGAAAGGAATAGGGTGTTTTTGTGCAGTTTAGAATAATTTTTTAAAAATAGTAACAGAAGGAATGACACTATATGACACCTGGGAACTGTATAACACCTGGGAGAGGAGCTGTGGGGTTTAGCTGCAAAGTTCCAAGATAAGGCCTGAAGTAACAATTAGCAGCTTGTAAAGATTCCACTCTCCTGACTCAAGGCAATATGAAAGTTGTTTAGACCACAGAGTGAGCGGCCCTGTGTGGTTGTCGGGAGAGTGTAGAGGCTGGACCAGAAGTCCAGAGACTGGTGGACCTGGTGACTGCCGCGTGGTAGGAGGGAATAAGCCCGGAAGCAACTGCGGAAGAGCTCACTAAGAGGTAGGGGAGACCTGGGTCCTTCTCACTGTTGTGTGTCGGCAGATGGGCACTCTCAGAGTGTCTGGACTGGGGGTGGGGGAGCACGCTAAATGAGCCTGGATCGTATGTGCTTTGGTTGGTTTGTTGTGACGCACCTGTTTCTCAACAGCCAAGGGGATATAATCCAGAGTCCGAAGTCGGGCTGGCTATAGCTCAGCGGTTCCTTCGACTGCATTGTGATTCAACCACCCTTCCGAGAGTGGTTCGAGACCCGCGGGCGCTCACCAGCCCTTTTGCCCCTGTCCCAGCCTCTTCATTTTCCCATTAATCCCTTTTGCTATACCAGCTTTCTTCATTTTCCCAGTGATCCCGCTTCGAGAAAGCATTTTGAGACTCCTCCTCTGACGAGAGCACCAAAGCGACCACGTTTCCAGCAGGTGTTCAGCTCCCATTCGACTAGGAACCAGGGTTCGTTGGAGAAATGGCTGGTGCTAGGACTGGGGCAGGAAATACAGAGATGAGCCTAGAGCATCTTGGATTCACCTAGTAGTTCCAGGAAGTTAGGAAGTGCCAAAAAACAACCTACCCCCCACCCCCGCCAAAAAAAAAAAAAAGAAAATGAAAAACCCACTTACTTTTAAAATTACTTCTGACGTTAAGTAATGTTTGTGTTTTTGTTCCAATAATTATCAGTTATACTTGTATTTTTTCTAAGTCCTCAAATAACTTTTCCATAGGTGGGCTGTATTATTTCGTTTGTCAGCTCTATCTTGACTCCCTCCTATTACTTATATAAATATCAATTATTTTATTCCATTTTTCCCTTTCCTCCCTTCCAGTTTGAGTCATATTGTTTTTAGAAAACAATTTGCATACACTCTTTTCCCACCCTTGTCACCACCTTTATTTTACTTGCAGATCTACAACTCATTAGTATATTTAATACTCACCATCATGATGAGTATTAGTTGGATGAAACTCATTCTATAGTAGATTCCTCAAACGAGGCTCCTGAGTACAGTATTCTGAGTTCTTGCATATTTAATACTGATTTTTTATAGCCTTGGTACTTAAAGGACAGATTGGCTGGATATAAAATCTTGGTTCTCACTTCTTTTCTTTTCCTTCCTAAATGATTTGGTCGTTTTGCCTGAGGCCCAGAGGATTTTTTTCTTTCAAATCTAATTGATTTTCTAAGATACCTCACAGTTGACCATTCCATATCAATTTTCTTTGGTCCTTGGGAGACCCTTTCGATGTGTAGATTGAAGTTTTATTTCCAGGAAGTTTTCTTGAATATTAACATCGGTTTCATTATTTTGTTTTTCTTCTACAGGGACTGTAATATATACTGGATCTTCTAATTGCCTCTCTATCTAGCACTTTCTCTCTGATCCTTCTTACTGATTTCTTAATTTTATTTTTATTTTCTTGGCTGTTTTAATTCCTTCTGTCAAAACCAGTTATTATATTTTAAGTAAAATCTCTTCCCCTTGGACATCTTATAATTTAGTCTTTTTTTTTTCCTGAGATGATTTTTCTTTTTGATCAGTTTCTTTTGATTTTGACTAAGCCTTGTCTTATATCTTTTTGTTTTTGTCCATTTTTGTTCTGAGTTATTTTTCTGATTCACAGTATTTTTTCATATCACCAAATGACTGTTTAAGGTTATTTAAATCAGGTTGGAGTTTTCTTGTCTCATGGTTAGTTTTGAAAAAAAAATTATTCTCTTTTTTTGTTGTCTTTATATAATATTATACCTACTATTTTCTGTTCATTTTGAAATGTCTACTATCCAGTTTCAGCAATTGCAAATGAGGCAGGCAGTTGGGTGTTTTATCAGGTTTCTTAGTTTGAGAGCGCCCTCTTCTGTTGGTAGAATGTAGTGCATTTTTTCCAAATAGAAGGCACTTTTTTGCGAGTGGAGCCCAGGTTGATGTGTCTTCTGATTTTGTGACTCTCTTTCATTTCCCTGGTAGTCTTCATTTTCACTCCTTGTTTCCTTCTTTCTCTTCACCATCAAGCCCTCAAGGGATACCTGCCCTTCAAATCATCTCTTTCCTCTGGACAAGATGCCTTTCAAAGATTTCCATTTCCGGTCTCATTTTCAAGAATTTCTTTTAGAGTCCTCAATTCCTCTCATCCACCAGGTCTGAGACCTATTGTCAGCGTTTCTCCACTCAAGCTGGGACTCTTTTTCTGGTGGTGACTTTATCTGTCTTCCACCATTGGTAGGATTCTGCTGCTCTCTGATCTTCTTTACCATCTTGGCCTCTCTTCAGTAGCATGGCTTTGTAACTGGATCTGCTGATTTGGGTTGTATAGTTACCAGTTTATATATAAAATGAAGTTTATAATATTCTCTGCCTCCAAATTATGTTGCAGTCATAGGTGGTTTTATTGTTTGTTTGGGTTTTTTTTGCTGCACCAAATGGCTTACTGGATACCTTAGTTCCCCAACCAGGGATTGAACCCGGCCCCTGGCAGTGAAAGCACCGAGTTCTAACCACTGGACCGCCAGGGAATTCCCTAGCTTTCCTTTTTGTTCATTTGTTTGT